ATATTATACCTCTACCAACCAGTTGCTGCTCTATACTTGGTGCAAATGAACTAACCAGCAACCAAATATAGCAGAAATTATTTATTCTTAGAAAGAATTTTGTTAAACCCCCTCCTATCATCCCACCACAACCCCCAAGAAGTTACATAGGCTTAATAGATCTGCTGGATGTTGGATCTCCCTGCCAGAGGGATATACCAGATAAGCTTATGAGAAATACTTTCTTTCTTAACAGGGATCCTATGGTAGACCAGGCAGCCAGTACGGTGGCAGACAAGTAAGAAATGTTCTTTAATGGTATTGATAGATTAAGGCATGAATTGGAGACAAAGCATGAGCATGCACAGAAACAAAAAAAAATGGCTTGCTTTTTTCACAGGAGTCAGCAAGTAGCCAATATGGTGGTGGAAAAGAAAGCCAATACGGGGGCAAAAACCAATATGGTGGTGGAAGAGGCACCTCCTATGGAGGCAGCAGCCAATATGGTGGTGGACAAGGAAGCTCCTATGGTGGCAGTAGCCAATATAGTGGTGGACAAGGTGGCTCCTATGGTGGCAGCAGCCAATATGGTGGTGGACAAAAATGCAAGTGTGATAGCAGTAGCCAATATGGTGGTCAACAAGAAGGCTCCTACGGTGGCAGTAGCCAATATGGTGGTCAACAAGAAGGCTCCTATGGTGGCAGTAGACAATATGGTGGCAGACAAGAATGCCAGTGTGATAGCAGCAGCCAATATGGTGGTGGACAAGGCAGCCAATATGGAGGAAAAGTAAGGAAACTTTATCTACAAAATGTACATCTTCTATCCAGAGAATAGGACTCACAGTAAAATAATAGTCACCCTTGCTCAGTTAGGGGGTAGCAAATCTAATTGTGGCCAAAGTAGTCATAACTGTGGGCAAGGCTACCCATATGATGGAGGCAAGGACAGTTGATTACAGTGATGACAAAGTAGAAATATTTCTCAGCAGTGTTTACATATGATTAAATGCCTCTGAACATTGAGTGGACTTTATCTGGGTGGAAGAAAATCTCACAGATTTCTATTACTTTGCAGGGTTACAGCCAATATGGTGGAAACACGTACGGTGGTAGACAAGTAAGGAATGGTCTTCAAACATTAACAGATTTTCACAGAAATTTACACTAAATTTACACTAAAAATTGTTTTGTTTTCCCAATTTATTTTTGGTTCTATAGGGATATCATCATGGAAGTAGCCAGTATGGTAGTGGACGATATGGTGGCAGCCAATATGGGGGACAAGTAAGGACTGTTTATCAAATGCCTTTGTTCGCACTGCAGTATGTAGTTGATCAATTGAACATGTTATAATCCTTTTAAAGTTTGTCCCGTTAGCATTTAAAGTTTGTCCCCATTAAATTCGGTAGCGTGTCTGTAATACAAGTGCTTGCAAAAATTATGGATGAAAGATGTCAACTTAGAATTTACTATTATATCTCACTCAGGAGGGACTGGGGTGAATCTAACCATCTTCCAAGTAGTCTTCCTCCAACCTTCCTCTATCTTTAGTGTGTTTTCCTTCAAGGGAAGGGCCACAATTTGATGGAAGGCTCTCTTGATCAGAGGTAGTCTCCAAACTTGAGCCAAAAGGAAAGGTGGGGTATCAATATTTTAATAAAGAAAGATAGAAACTTTGCTCAGTGGAGTAATAAGATGTCTCCTCTAAGATGGTGCCTGCATCAGCTAACAAAAAATAATCCTTTTTATTTCAGAACTGTTGTGTTAATTTGTTAGGGTGCGACTCACAGATCTGGCTATAAATTAAGTTTCCATTAACCCACTCATCTCATCCTTAACCACTAAATGCTTCCCCATTCCAAACTACCCCCATCCCAAATCTTGGGGGGGACCTTCTGCTGCTGGACTTTTAAACCTTACTTTTCTTCAACAAAAGTAGAATGTTGAGAATGCAGTCTAGTTATTAAAGGCCCCGGTCACACGGGAGGTTTAGGCTCGGAAGAGGGACAGATCGGGGGTGCAGCAAATGGGCGCAATCAAACTGCAACATCTGGGAAGCGGCGCGCACCGTCCCTGATCCGTCCCTTCAGCCCAGTAACGCGGAGCAAAAAAGAACCTAGCAAAGAGAAGGACTTACCTGAAACGCCACAGCAAGCGCGGCCGTCGGATCGCAGGAAGGCCCGTCTTCAGGAGCATTCGAGGCTCCCAGCCGAACTGTGCATGCACACGCATGTGCAGCAGGCTGCCTCGCGCTACCTTCCGTGTCTTTCCCTCTGGCATCTTATCATGCCGGGGAGCAACTGCGCGGCGGCTCACGGGATCAGTCTGATCCCGACGCTGCATGTCTCTTTTGGTGCAGCTTTAAAAAGCCGCACTTTGGCCGCATCAATTTCCCCCCCGTGTGGCAGGGGTCAAAGTAAAGGAGTCTGTGCTGTTGATGCAATGGGTTGTAGATTATACTCCAAAGATTCTGTGCACAATTACTTGAAAGTTAGTCCCATGGAACTCAGTGGGACTTACTTTCAAATAAACACACACGGGATTGTGTGCTGTAATGCAGTAACCTCACAATTTACTATGGCAAGGGGTAGATCTATATACATTATACTCATTAGCTGTTTACCATGCATTGCTACATAGATTTGGTGGGTTTTAAATTGTGTTCCAGGGAACTTAGGTTATTCAGTAGCTTTTAAGCAGTTCATCACTGGTAAGATTAGTGATGGTGGACAGTTTGCCTACCAACACCTTCCACAGAGTAGTGCTGGCTGTGTTCCAAATGAAACAGTGAAACCAAATGGTCCTAGCCAGCACCCTGTGAAAACTAATGGTGTGCACAGGTAGGCATGGTTTAATATATTCTTGAATCTAGGGTCTATGACAAATACTACAGGGAGTCCCCCAGACAACAAATTGATTTGGGAAGGTTTACTGGAGCAGATCTCAAAATGACAGGCTGAATTCATTTGCATTTCCAGCTTGAGCCATTCCTAAGGATGCCTCAAGGAAGTTATAGTTTTGTTTTTACTTTAAGTTCAAACTATGCTGTTATGCTTTGGACCATAGCAATAAATATCAACTAATTTGGAGGTAAATTCCACTGAAATCAGTGGCCATTGCTCCCAAATAATAGGGCTTAGAAATAAACTGCGTAGATGAACATTCCTCCTGTACAATGTAATATTGCCAGGTGGTTTTGATATGGAAATAATGGGGGTTCATCATTTTTATAGGGTTCATCAGGAGGCAGCCATTACAGAGTAAGCAGCTTTTCCCCATTGGTTTTAAAACTTCTTTTTGGCTTGGGTTGCAATCCTAAAAGTACATTTGAACTCAGTTGACTTGAAAGCAGCAGCTGCTACTAGTTCTAGTAGGGAGGGAAGGCAGCGTGGCATAGCCTGACCTTGTCAGATCTTGGAGGCTAAGCAGAATCCGTACTTGGAAGAGTGACCACCAAGGAAGGCTCTGCAGAGGAAGGCAATGGCCAGACCACCTCTGCTTCTCACATGCCTTGAAAGCCTCTTGCTGGCATTGCCATAAGTCGGCTGCAGCTTAACGGCACTTTACACACAAACAGATTCTAGTGAATGTAATGGCATTTGGAGCTTGGACACACTCACCTTTTAAATCTGCAAAACGTATTTCTAAGTAAGCATGCATTGGATTACACTGTAAGACTGCAATCCTGTGGGTACTTGCTTCAAAGTAAGTTCTGCTCAACAAAGAGCCAAAGTACATGTCACCATCTTTCATGTGTTTTCACATGTTCCCTACAGTTGCAGAGCAGCTGTGCAAAACTACTTCAAAATAAAAAAAACTGAGAGCCCAAGCAGGGTCCAAATGGCACTGCCAGAGGAGAAAGGGCTCATCCCCCACCCCACCCCGGCAGCAGTTTTCTGGTGCAAAAACCACAGTAACATATCGCTTGGCTCAAATTAGTATGTCTTAATAAGTGAACGTAAATAGAACTGAACTGTGTTGTTGCAGTCCTATGTACTGTTATTTGGGAGTAAGTGCCACTGAACTCAATGGGATGTATAAATGAGTAAAAACATAGTGACCAGGAGTGGCTAAGGTGGGTGGGACAGTATTGTACCAATGCAGCCATAGTGCCATTTCTTGTACTCACCTCCCGCAGTGAGGGCAAAAGCAGCTTGAGAGTGGAGATC